TTTTTTGTTGTAGCGGGTTGATATGTGGCACTGGCCACTTTCTTTTTATGATATTTACTTATTCAGTGGTTGCTAAGCAACTTACAATTAAAAGAGAGTCACGGGACTCTATAGAGACAGTGTGAAAGGCACATAGATAAGAAATACTGTATTGAACGCAACGTAATGCATTACAGTTAGCAGAGATATATGCTAGACACAGCCACTGTAGAACAGAAGGCAAAGAATTACACCTGAATCACAAATATGCCGTGAATGAAGGGTACTTGAAATCGTACCTTCTCTAGTGGGTAGTGGGAGGCCACACTGTAGTTGTGATGACAAATTTGCCAATGTAACAGGGCTCAGTGACCTCATCCCCTTGAGGAACATGGAACTGTTCCTGTCACACTGGAGCAGTGACTTGGATTTCACAGGCTGATGTCTGTCAGTCGCTGAGGGGGATGAAGAGTTTAGAGGTGGAGAGTGTTACAGACATCACTCCCCTTTGAAAAACCCTGGAAGTGTAGGATTCTCCCAGTCTTCTGCCGTAAAAGAGTTCACTGTCTAGGGAGTGGCATTCTGTCTGTGCCCTGGGAAAGGCACAGCAGAGCTGCACCTTTTACACAAGCAGGGGTGAATCGTCTTTAATGGGGCTGCTACAGGTGCCTATGAACAAACTCATGGATTTTCACATTATCTACACACACCCCATTTACCCCATTGTTAATAGACTTTCAGCTGTTAATTCTTAGAATACTGGAATATAACTGGTACATTTACTAGCTCCATGTTAATGAAATCTCCTACCTCTGGGTATATAAACCACAAGAAGATTGTGAGAGTTTTAGAAAATCTTTGAAGACTTATTTTAAATCCTGCGCTATGTTGATGGCTTTCAAAGGTCATTATTCCTCTATCATGAGTTTAAATCTGAACTGAATTTTGTTTGCTTTAATATTGATGAGGTGTCGGATTAATCATTAACCATACATTTCTTTCTGTAGAGACAATACAAATCATTTTTAAATCAAATGGAGTTAGTTGTTCTTACTAAAATACACCCTCCTTGTTCTGTGTTCCAAGTAAATATACAGGGTTCCAAAGATGACATTGCTTTTTACCATGAGGAGCTCTGGTTTAGGCAAATTGATTAAAGGAGTCTCTTTTCTTTGTGCAGGTGGTACCCTGGACCCTTCTGGTGTTCCAGACAATCCCCCAAGCTCGCCTTCCCTCTACAGAAATGAGTGTGACCTCACTAATGAACCCAGACTGTCTAATGTTTTCCAAGACTCTCTGCCACATGTTCCTGAAGTTGGAGAGTGCCGGATTGATATGCCAGACAAGGGTAATGATCAAACAGGCATGGTCTTAATTACTGCTTTTTATTTTTCAGTTTAGAAATGTCACCTGCTATCCCTCTGTCATACCCCCAAATCTGAAAAGGTTAGTTACCACCTGTGGCTTTTGCAAGACATCATTTTCCAGTAAGGTATTGAAACGATTGATGTGCAAAAAGCATCAATCTACAATAGACTGGTTTTGAGAACATGCCTTTTTTTTCCCCAAGGGGCTTTGATAGAAACATTTCACTTTCTTTCTGTTCGGACCTGTTTGGTCACTCAGTGTGCATCGAGACCACCTGGAAGGGCACTCACGGAAAGAATACAGATCTACACACTCCAGGAGTTCTCAATACATTACTCTTCAACACGAGCAAGTTACAACTTCAGAAAACGTTACAACCAAAAAGAGACATCGAGGCCATTGGTTAGTTAGCATCTTATTGATCTTAGGATCTCATCCAGAGTTTTCTTAAAGGAAACAGGGGTCTCGATGTCAACAACATGACAAAAAATGATTCCTGTTCTCAATATTAAATGCACCTCCACATATTTTACACTTGTACTCTGGTTGGTGTTTCACTGAATTGAAGTCTTACTTATTTTCTAGTTACAAGTTTGGGATTTTCTTTCAATTGGAAAATGCAATGGCTTAAGCCCCATCAGAGCTTTAAGAGCTGGGAACAAACATTTGCAATGAATCTTATTCTCAAGTCAGTGAAGGGTTTGATTGTGTAACTGAGAGCTCGGCTGGAACACAAGCCATCAGGTGTGTGGGCCACCAGGCCCAGTATTGGGAACCACTGCTTTAAACCAACAAAATGACTTTGGTGGCTTTAATATGGTCTGGTTCCAAAGAATTGCTTTAAATTATAAATGGCAATTGGGACTCCAAAAATATATGTTTGAGTTATGTTCTTAATGGATCCATGACTTTGTTTGATTTTGTGGTCCTCAGTGTTATTCAATTCTGATAATCTGGCTGAGAGTATGAATACATTCTATCAACATTGAAGGAAGGACACAGCATTATGCATATCTCAGAAATTCCCAAACATTTCTCGAGCAGGGCATTACTTTTCAACAAAATTGAATTTGTATCCTGAAGAAATTCTAATGTTAATATCTTTCTCCGTGTTTCCACATGTGTTTATATCCCATGATGTTTTTCTAAAATGCACTTATGTGTCTGCCGTAAGAAGGACAGTCTGAGACCTCACTTCAAAGATGCTCAGTGTTTGTGGTTGACATGAATCGTCACTGTATTAAGTTTTCCCCGTACAATAGCCACAGTGATGAGATGACAAACTAACCACAGCAGGTGAAGGGAAACTTTGTCAACATGTTTCACTATAGTTGGTAAAATGGATGATCTGTGTGTTTGGAAACACCTTAAAATAGAGCACAATATCTGGAACACAGTGCTTTACAAAGCCAGTATGGGCTATAATGACGTATGTCAAAACTGAAATGAAAATTTAAGTTGTTCCTTTTTGGCACCTAAACCATCTTGAGAAAGGGACCTTCAGATAAGGGCAGGTCAAAATATGAAAAATGCAAACACTTCTAAAACACGGGTTAATACTCCTTGGATTTTGTAAGCTAAAACAGCTTTCTATTTTTTGCTGTGATCTCTTTGAACTGTTTCAGAATCTCAGAAACAAACTACACCTTTCTTCTTACATTTCGTCTAGGGGATTGCTGAGATACAAATGATTTGTGCTCTTGGATCTCAGTGTTTAATTATGCAGGTTCATTTCCCCGCCGTATACAGCTTCTGCTCAGCAGGTAACAAAAATGGAAGGTGTCAGAGTTCTTTGGAGGTTTGGCATCCAGTCTAAGAGGCCATTTCCCTTGTCAAACACATTGACTACACGCAGACATCCATTCTGAGGCTGTGACCTGTATTGTATGAGGTTGTATGGTTTCCTTTTGCTTAAAAACAAAACAATTACAACTATTTGGTAAGCAGGAACGTCTTTTCTAAACCCTGTGTATCCAGTTACACTAAAGCGCAGATTTTCTAAGCTGTGGTGTCCTGTTACATAAGGCATTGTGTAAGGCGCTGCTCTGAGTCCAGATCCCTCAAAGCATACTGATTGTTCTTCCCTAATACTCCAGTTAAGCCGTCTTTTTCATGACAGAACTTTTCTCTTGCGTAAATTCAGTAAGTTGCCTTTGTGCAACTGTTTGAATGATGACCATGTTTTAGCCGTCGATGGCTTTCAAATCTACAGTACGCCGTCTACCCCGAGTTCTTCATTTCTTAAGCCAACCCAAGAGGTCACTCGTCATCAAGCCAAAATGCTGGATCGTTTTCAGGTCTTGATTTAGAAGAATGTAATTGACAAGTCCTTGCCCTGCCATGTGTTGAAATTGGCTATTGATCAATGCCTTCTTGGTATAAGAACAGAAGAAGGAAAAGACTAAAGTTGTGCATACTCTAAAATGTGTGCTGTCATCATTGGTTTAATTTTTCCATCGCAAGCTCGATTAAAAATTACACAGAGGTTTGACGCGGAGCCTTACTGATATTTCTACATACCCAAGAACGGCCTTCAAGTCACAGTGCTTACTGTCAAGTCAATTCAACTTAAGGAGCCCCCTACCCAACTTTAAGCCTTCAAGACTTCAGCTGTGCTTGACTTTACATAGTTACTTGCTGGATGCTGTACCCAGACTCTGCTCCAGGTGGAGCATTCCACTGGGTGACACTGGGAAGCCTTCAAAAGTAGTCTCCAATTTGATCTCTCACTAGTATTATGAGACAAGGAATTCTGGGAGGCCAGTGCTTGAACGGTCAAAGGCACATTAATTTCTCACATGCTACCCAGGAACCTTCTAAGGTTAAGCTCTTCTTAAAATAGCTCACAAAGACCAATTATTTCCCTTGTTTCGTGTCTAATTTGGGTTTGTGTGGCATTCTCTGGTGTACATTTTAATCAACTTTAGCTTAATAGAAATAATGATGCTTTTTGTGTGGGTTTTGAAGTTGAAAGAGTCTTTGTTTTGGGGTTTAATTTGTGCTGTCATTGTGCAGAAACAAACGGGCCCTTTCGGGACAAGCAGAATGTTGACACAAAACAGTTAGAGGATCAGAAGGCTGGAAGGAAGAGAAGGAAGAGGTGTAGCATCATGCCTGAGGCCCCCAGAGCCGGGCTGAGCCCTGTCCCCGAGATGGAGCTCCCATTCCTGGAGGAAAACACTGGAGACACAGGGGGTCTGAAGGAGACATTGGTAATGGAGTAGGCCTCACTTTTCATCTCTCTCCCACAGCGCTACGCAATGACATGCCCCCCCGTCCCAAATTCCTTCTCCTTCTGTTGCTGTTTTGAAGTTTTTGTCTTCTGTGGTCTGGCTATTGTTTAGTCTTCTTTTTAAGTAAGCGAAGGAAACAAACAGAGTAAAAAGGAATTGTACATGTCATTCGCTGCCCTAAAGGTTTCCATAGCTACATTGGTGATTCATATATAAATCTCATATATAAATTTGGATGAGATTTGAGAATCAAAACGTGAAGGAAGCACCTCTCTGGCTGGAGCAGTGGAAGGTACTTGCTCCAAGCACTCATTGAACTTTATGACAGAGATATCAAACTTTCAAGCCTGGGCTATGTAACAAGCCAATGCCAGCAGCTATATCACCCTGCAACTGACATCTGGCAACCCACTGAAGGTTAGGTGGTAGATTTGTTGGTTGAAATCAGCCTTGAACAACAGATCTCAGAAGATGGTGTCTTTTTTTCTTTCTGGTGTGGACACATTGGTCTTTGCTCAGGCTGCTGCATTGTAAGACAGAGAACGAGCCGAGAAGCTTGCCTACAGTTTCATCGTGGTGAAACATCTGACCCAGCAGAATCCTGAGAATTCAAGGCCGATTGGTTTCCTTTTGTGTGTCAGGTGTGCGGAGCTCCCCAGCCTTGGGACGGGGTGTTTGAAGAAAGGCAAAACGAAGCTCCCAAGAAGGAGGTCACTGTCACTTGTTCCATGAAGACGACCTCCATCGATTCCTCCCAGCTGCACAGTCAGAGGTCCTATATCACCTATTATGGAGGCACCTTGGCAGGGGGAAAGAAAAGCTCAGTGTGTGAGTGTCATCACCCACTGCCTCTGCCCATGACAGCTACTACTACTACCACTACTACTATCACTACTCCTACTACTACCACTACCACTACTACCACTACACCTACCACTACCCCTACTACTACCACTACCACTATCACTACTACTACCACTGCTACCACTACCCCTACCACAACCAATACTACTATTACTACCACTACTACTACCACTCCTGCTAATACTACCACTACTACTGTCACGCCCTCTGCAGCCAGAGGGCGCTCCTTCTCTGTCCTGTCCCTAGTTTCCGGTCTGCTGTCCTTCCTGTCCCTCTCTTTCCCTTGGGCTATATATTTCCGGGTCTTGCACTCTGTCCTCGCTCAGCATTGACGTTCGGATGTCCTGAGACCCGCCTAGCACCAGGGCGCCCCACGTCCGCTCCCTGAGGGCATAGGTTTCTATACGGCATTCCTGAACTCTTTGCACTATAAGCCTGGGCCTTTTTCCCGTCTCGCCGCTACGCATATGGGTCTTTTTCTGCTCTCCTGCTCCCCACGGTTAGTCCCTTTGGACGTCCGTGACAACTACTACCACTACCCCTATTACTCCTACTACAACCACTACTACTAACAACAATAATAGCACCTGTAGCAGCTTTGAAAGCAATCTTCCCCTCCTCCAGTTTAAAATAATATTACTCCCTCTACTTACTTTACCTTACTTTACAAACCATTCGTGTTTTGAGATGATAATGAAAACTGTGTGAGGAGTGATCCTATATTTGCTTCAAGCCGGCCTCAACCCCACCACCGACTGGAGACCGGCACTGCCTCTCAAAACAACCCCCTAAAACACAAAACAAAAAGGGCACTAAAGCAGTTCCTTCGCATGCAGGCCTGCGCAGTGAAGTTCACTGATACTGACAGGTCCGGATTTTTACTGCTTTTGAATGCTGGGTTAGTGTAAGTGTCAGTACCTGGCATTGGAAGACTAAGACACTGCCTGCATTGCTCTCTCTCTCCCCCCAGCAAAGTCAAGCAGAAATGACCAAAGAGACAGACAAGACAAGACCCTCCTGGATCCTAGCAGTCTGGATCTGCCTTTCCCTCCTATCCCAACAGGCATGGTGTCTATGCTACATCCAATGAATGAAACAGCAGAAACAGAGGTAAAGGTGATAAGTCATTGCTTGATTATTATCTTTTTTTATCAGCCTGAGACTTTTATCCCTTTATGTACTGTTAGATTACCTTCAATTCTAAATTGCTATAATTATTATTATTATTATTATTGGTACTAATATGGGATGAAGTGTTCTAATGATTCCTGCAATTACACACTGCTTAGTTCATAATGCTTCCATGTTTAGTTCATAATAAGAGCTGTCAAGTCTATAGCTTGTTAAACTGATAGTTCCCCTCTAACAGCCACGATCTCACAGAGGAGTTTCAGAACTCCAAGCACAGAAAGTCCCCTGAAATCAAATATGTTCCTGAAACTTACTGTAGATCACACCTTCCGCCTTGTCTCAATGACTCATCTCCTTCTAAATCCTTGCTGTTCATTTACAGATTTCAGCTCTGCTCCTGTTCTCCCTGAGTTTGGACACTCATTCTCACCTGCTTCATGCCCTATTCCTCCCTGCTCCCCACCTCTTCTTAACTACTCTGTCTTTTATTTTGCTAAGTTCTGCTATTCTGCTAATTTCCCCTTCTCCTTCACACCTGAAGAAGGCTCCACAGCCTCTGTTTCTTTTCTGTCAACATGGAATTAACCTATACCTGTTCCTATAGCTTTTTGGCTGATTCCACTGTCTAAGCCACAGGAACATGGAATCTCTTTTCCACTGCAATGTGGGAGGACTCAAATGCCATATAATGGCTCTGCTTGGGTCATGGTCACAGCAGCTCCAATACACCAGTCACCAACTCATCCATGGATATCAGTGATGGTTCAAGATGATTGTGTTTGTGAGCACTAGGCAACAGGCACAGTTCTACAGAGGCTCAACTCCGACCGCCATCAAAAAGAGTTTGAGCAATGAGAAAGTGTGATGGAGGTGTTTGATCATATCAGTAGGACTCATTTGTGCATTTGTGGTCATATTATCTTACACAGGCAGGTGATGAACCTGGTAGTTTTTTTACAATATTTTGAATAGAGCTGTGCGCTCCATATATACATCTTGATTTAATATACTTGCATAGTGGAGTATTTATGCGACCACAATAAGTATCTATTTCCTATATCAAACAAGAACTTTTTCCCATAAATGCTGCCACCGTTTTCTTGTACTAAGAAAGTAAAGTGCCACCTTTTTTTGAATATCAATATAAGCTGCGTAAAATGCAAAAAAAAAACGTCTAGCGATGTTTGACCAGTTTTCTTGAATGCCGGCGGGCTATGCCTTTTCGAATTCTGTTTCTCAGGCAGACAGACAGGCCTGCCAGACGCACGGGCAATTTTGACTCCCCCAATCTTGTGTTCACAATAAACAGGGTTCATTTTGACTGCTGTTCTATTGCTTATCTCCTCATTTACCCAATTACTGGTGTTTTGTTTTTCCTGCAGTCCGATAGGCTGGTGGAAGAGGGAGCGGAATTACTGACACTGCCAGCCTTATTTGTTCCTGAAAGTACTCGGAAATCAAACAGAAAGAAATGTCCGGAGAAAGATTTTCCCAAAGAGATGCTCATCCTTCCCATGTTATTTCCAGGAGATGCAGCAAAAGGCTATGGACAGAAATCAGAAGGTAGGCTAGTTGCTTGTTTCTGAGTATCTTTGATATCTGCCTAGGAAGCACATCCCATGCCTTCTTATATTTCTTAAGTTAAGATGAACAGATATCCTCTATTAATTAAGGCAAATTCATTATATTCATTGTAGCAATGGAGGAAGTCTACAGAATTTCAAAATGTGTCTCAGTTTTAAATTCCGGACAGCTGGAAGCATCAGGTCAAGTATATGCACATAGAGTGTAGCTGCATGTCAGCTATAACCAGCAAGTTTCTTGCATATCCTCAAAATTGTCCTCATGAATATATTCTAGTAGTATTATAGTCCCAAAACCGTAAACTAAAGTCTATGCAAGGCTAAAAGAAACATGCTGCATGGTGAATACATAATAAAATATTAACTTAATTTAATAACCTTCAACTCCTTTCAGCCACATCCTATTTTTCATAAACTAAGAACGTCATGCTGTATATGCATAGATTTCTTGAAAACTCACATATGAGCTTCTAAACATTTTTTTTTAATAATTAAATCATACTCTTATTCAAGATGCTGTTTGATTGTGGGCCATATAAATGACTTCAATGTCAATACAAACGCATGTTACATACCCTAAGCTGGGAATTTGTTTTAATATACTGGTATCAAAAATGTGCAGATACTCTCAAAATCTGAATACATGTGCTGTTTTATTTTTCTGTGTAATTACCAGTAACAATCACGCGCTTAGTTCAAGATATGAAGGTATAACTGTTTTGAACTTGATATTACCTTTAAAGAACATATGTGAGGTCACCTTAATCAGCAAATTTGATTAGAAGTGCCCACTTCCCACTGATTTGAATGCCTGAAGTAAAGAACTTGAGAGCCAGACATTCAAGATTCACATGCAGCACTAGATGTTAATTATCTAGTCCAGGGTTGACCTACAGATTTGACTCATGATTGTTCTTCACTTCAATTAACAATTGAAGTGTTAAAAAGAGATCTACAGAAACTGCTGGACTGCGGATCTCATTGTGCCCGAGCTTACTGCAGAAAATGAAGTTCCTCCTTCTAATGGGTCTATGTCAGTGTTTTCTTTCTGGTCCCGGGTATAAATATTTGCAATCTGTAGGTATTCATTCATAGGTGTCTGTGGCAGCGCCACCAGCCTGTAGCCTGATCTGGTCAGATCTCAGACATTAATCAGGGTTGGGTCTGGTCAATATTGAATTCGGTGATCTCAGGGAAACCAAAGTGGTTTTGGTGGACTGGTAGGTGGACCTCATTCTTTTGGACCAGAATTTCCTGAAAAAAACAATCACCAGGGATACTGTGTTATACTGTGAGGGGTCATTCTTCAGAATGGTTGTTAAAAGGGAAATGCAACACTATTTTTATAGGGGTTATATATTTGGGGTTAGAAAGAATCAGTACTGATGAGTGCATTTCAAACCACTATAAAAGTAAACAGTAACGTGTAAAACCTCCAATTTGCATCCCAAAATAGACCAAATTTTTCAGGTATGCACAGTGCCAAATTCTGCGATTCAGAACACGGCAACAAAACTTCCAGTGAAGTGATGTGGCCCTATCACTTCGTAAAGAAGCAGGCTTGCGAATGCATCTCTTTTAACCCAATAGAAATATTGCTCTCGACTTTGAGAAGGTGTTGCCAATAAAGACTACTTGTTAACTCTGCATGCTGATCGTGTTGGGAACATTAATGTGGTGAAATGTCTGCTGCACAACCTGTACTTATTTGTTCATACATCACATGACATCAGTCATTACAGTGACTAGTGAGCAGGAAGGGCTACATCACGTTGGACATTCGTGGGAACTCTCGCTCTCGCCCGTGGCAAGACCAGGGTTTTGTGACAACACGGCAACTTACAGTATTTTCACGATTTTGTGCTTAATTCGAAATTTGTAAGCTCTTTCTATAACGTCAATTTATTTTGTTAATCCTGATAGTCCTGGCTAAAGTTTAGTCTGGACTTTTACAATCAGGCATTTTCGCACTTTTCCACTTGATCTGCTGTGCAGTAGGGCACAATGGTGGTTGCACATTGCTCAGGTGGGTGCCTCTGTGGTGGATGAGATGAGTCCTCTATATGTGAAGCACTCTGAGATTCTTTGGTCCCTGTGGCTGAAGAATACTATATGATTGGAAGGTATTATTTTATTCTGGCAAGGCAAATGTAATAACAATGTCACTGTGTTTGTAAATATATCCCTCTCAAATTCAATAAAATTAGACTTCATATGCTTGTGCACACCATTTTGGTGAAAATAAGAATACTTTGACTTTTCTGAAGGCAATGCCTGGCTCTTAAATGCTCTTCTCACTGCTCCGGAGAACCGTTTATTTTTATCGGACAAGGCCATCTACATTTCAGATGTTTCCCATCACGCTGAACCAAGCCAGATGAAGGTCGACCTTCACGGCAGCCCCGAGCAGGAAGTGGAAAAGAGATTTGAGGGGGCGTCCGCAGAAGAGATGCCCAGGGCCCTTCCTGTCCTGAGGCCCAGAGAGGTGGAGCTGGAATGGTCTGGGCAGAGACACACAGCGGACAGAACAGAGTTGAAGGAAGACAATCAAGGTAACGGGGTCTTCTCATTGCCACCTTGTCAAGCACCGTTCAGTGCAGTTGTCACACTCGTTTCCAGATAAGACTGACTCCTGCCTACTCCCCCAAAAAGGCCGCTATGCAATCCACGTGCCCCTGTGTCCTACACGCGGTGGGATACAATACAGATTGGGAGGCTGCCTTTTTCTGATGGAGCCTTCCAAACCGTTGCGTGCCTGCAACTAAAAACACTCAATTGAAAGTTTCTAAAACCCCCCAAAAATGTCCTTTAATCGCAGTTTTCAGAAAATCTAAACATTCAGCGCTCCTGAGGGACTGAGGCAGGGAAATCCATTAACGCTGTTAGGTAGAGCCGAAATCCCCCGCTCCATACAGATTTTACGAAGTGTCAAAAGGCGTTCGCTGAACCAAAGGGACGCTGGGGGATAGACAGGAACTAACTAACCTGAGAAGCAGCTCCATGAAGCTTTTCACATGTCAACAGTAATCGTTTCAGATCCTTTCCTTATTGCATTAAAGGCATGTGAACCTGGTCCAGCACAGAAATTATGTGCCCAGCTGATTTAATTAATGAGGGAGCGGCAGAACATTTCCACTCTCCCTGTGATGGCCATGATAAGCCAGTTGGAAGAGAAATGCAACAATGAAAACTTGAGCCAAAGCTTCAGATAAGAACCTAATGGCTTGACTTTGTGCATGTGTTAAAGGTAGCATATGGGGCATTTCATCTAACCCAGATGTGGAGGGCTGTAGCAGTGAGCCGGTCAGAGTATTAGAGAACTATTTAAACACATTCACGCATGTATGGTGGTTCACGAGGGCATGGAAAAGACATTAAGGCACCAAGGATTTCTGATTATTTCTTCCTTTAAGTGTGTAATAAACCATCGAAACTCACTTCACGGAGGAGAAACCTGTGATGATCAAGAACATTCCAAAGGATCGAAAGAACAGACCCCAAAGTTCAAATTGTTTATTTTATTCTTATTGTTTGCTGACCCCTCTTGGAATCATGACTTGTTTCTCTACATCTTGGATGTAGGACGACAATGATTCCAAGGGTTGCCACTGAGAAATTTGTATTCTTCTTATTTTGTTGGCACCTTATAGTGGCAACCCCTGTCTTAAGACCTACCTACTCATTGAGCCATGTGTTTCACCACACTACAGGCTCAATTAGGAGGCTCAGTTCTGACTGGTGGAGAGGTGTGTCTCTCACTGACATCACCGCAATCCTGCAAGCTTTGGGGATCTTCACTGGGAACCAAACCGGCTGTTTAGTTTTATTGCTGCCCTGTTTGTCCCATTTTTAACAACGAGTTAGGCGACTTCTGACACAACACCATTACTGCAGTCAATCCAATAAATTCTAATCAATATCATATCATTACGAACAATTGTATCTACTTCAACTAATGCCCCTTGAATAGCTTTGATCTTCTGTGGCTCAGAGTAATGACTGTGTGATCAGTTCTCTATCCACTGGGATACAAGCATGTTCAAGGTTTGATGATACCTTCTTTCTTTAGGTAACTATTGATCTTTTATTTGCTTTATGTGTGCAGATGTCACCTATTTTCTTTTACTAAGTTCTAAGTGCTTGCCGAAACTTGGCAAACTGAATTCGGGAGTGTATTATGAATTTTAAAGCTCCAGTGGTTGTTAAAGGTTCTCTTTGGTTGTAGATGATTGCTTCACCGCTGGTGTCCTGCCTCCCATCATTGGTAAGAAAGGCCCAGGGCGACAGAGCTCCATGGCTTATTTCAGAGACCCCAGCAAAGACCAGAAAGACTCGCAGACAGGCATTATTCGGGGCAGCATTCCAGAGGTCCTGAGAGGTGAGAGCCTATTGGGAAAACTAATTGTATCTTAGCTTACCTTCTTGTCAGTGGGACAAGCAGTGATCTGTGAGTACAGATAGGATAGTTGCCTGGATCAATAATCCTTGGAGATTTTATTCTCATATCATAGGTTTAAACCCAAAAAAAAGAGTAATTTTCTTTTAGTCTTCTGTATTTTCTTTCAATTAAATTTAGAGTCCAAGCCCGTGCAGACTCCTCATCCTCTGTCACACAGGTCAAAGTCCCGCTTTCGAGATGCGTTTGTTAACAAATCAAGTTAATTACTTCAGCTAACTTAAATGTTGTCACGTTTTTATATTTTGTGCGATGAGTGTATATAAATTACAATCAATTAAGATTACGGAGCTACAGTGATGTGCCTTATAATAATCCAACTATATTCCACATAAAATCAAGGTCTGCTATTTTCGTCATTTGTTTAAAACTTTGTTTTATCTTAATCGTGATTTCTTACAAAGTGCTTAAATTCACAAACACAAGAATGTAGTTCAGGTTCCAAATGGCAAAAAGTTATCTGGCTAATCTTGATCATCGAGTTTCCAGTAGTTTATTGATTCAAGAACCCCACTGAGCAGCTTTGTGATCCTAGTGATATTCCAGCTCTTCCAGCTGATTACCTTTGTCAGAATATAAATAGTTATTAAAGGCAGTAAAAGGGTGTTATCCTGCCACCGTGTCTGCAAAATCTTTTTGCTTATAACATCTGTGGATACATATCAACAGACTGCATTCCTGGTTTGCTTGAACCTTTAACCATTTTAAACATGGACTGTGTTTCAAGAATGTTAATGAGTGCTCTTTTCTGTAATATTATTTTTTTCTTTTCGCAGAAAGCTACAGAGGCAGCTCAGTAGGATGTCTCATCATGGCTCCGGATGGAGAAATCATGCGTTTGTCTCTTTGGGGGCCTATTACAGAAAATGGCGAAGACCTACTCTTTGATGACATCACACAAAATGAAGGTCTACCCCCCCAAAATAAACTTTTTAGCAACAAAGCCAAAATTATTTTATGTCTTTAAACCTTTATATAAATACACAATACCTGGGTTTCTCACTTCTTTCATTAGAAAATACAGCAAGACAATTATTTTGGAAACAAAAAAGCACTTAGAAACAATTAAGTTACCCCAGAGTAAGGTTTTGCGAAACCAATAATTGAACTACAGCAAATGTATTAACTTGAACTGAAGGCTGGAGTGAAATAATCTTAACATTATAAAAAGTATAATTTATAATGCATAAATATAATCTATCATAACACCAGCTTCTGTTCGATTAAATTGTGCTGTCTTATAATGACAGACTGTTATGGCTACAACTGATACATTTAAAGTCAAAGCTTAATAAGCAGAAAACTGGACCTCACTGCAGCATTGCAGTAAAGTTCCGTAATTGATCAATATTTTTTTCCACACTGCTGCTGCTTAGAGAGTATGGTCAGATTGGGATGAGAGATGAGTGGTGGTGACCTCTGACCTCTGACCTCTGAGGCACAAGAAGGCCAAAGCAGGCAAAGTACAGACTAAGGAGAGTGGGGTTGGATCATCAGTCTGAGAGCTCCAGGGGGCATCATCGGGAGGAGAGAACAAAGATTCGAAAAATGTAGACCTCATTAATATTACCTGTTTCCTTTCAGCTCTGCAAATCCTGTCCTCGGATGTCATCGTAGAACAGCCCTGGAAGATATTTTTGCAGCCAGGTACAGGTCAGTTCCAGATTGAGTTAGTATTGCTTTACTTTTCTTAGATTGTCAACATGACCAAGGAAATCCGAGATACACATACAGCAGTGCAGGTTTTTCACATCTCTTCTTCGTTTTTCTATTTACATTTTAACATTTCATTTCATCCATCAACCCCTATAGAGCACAGTCTGCTATAATATGTCTGAAGTCATAGTGGGTTTCTGGTGTTCTGGGTTTCTTCTGGTGATGTGGGTTTCTTAAATTGACCAAGCGTTACAAATGATGAATTGAAATGTTTTCTTTTAATTAGACCTGCTGCTGATTTTTGCAGGCACTAGACGTTTGCACCAAAAACAACCTCTCGTGCGCGGGACCTGGTTTTGTTTTCTCTCAGCACAACTCTTAACCGACAGCCGAGCCAAGGAGAGGCACATTGTGACAGAACGTTGTCAGTTAATTTCTGAGTGAGGCGTGTTTGCAATTGGAACAGCTTGAGGCGTCACAGTTATTAGGAGGCTCTGTAGGTAACTCGTATTTCTCCCTGAAGAAAGAAACCATTCCTGCTGCCTTTTTCCCTAAGTGTTGTCTGAACAGATTGATGACATACTACATATTTCATTTAACAAACAGAGTAAAGATATATTACCCTGGTTGACACCCAAAAAATAATTAAGTCCTCATTAATTTGCAACGCAATCCGGGCCTTTTGGGTTCTCCTTGATAATGCTGTTGTATTTGTTTTTGCCTCCAGCTTGGAGTGATGGCATCATTCATAGAAGCAAGTTATTAACTGTGTTTCTACCAATCCTAGAATCGGAATAAAATAACATACATGCAAAATGCTGCTTTGTGCTTTGTTATTAGGGGTATGGTTTTAGTTGTGATCAGGGTTAGGATTTTGTTACTGCCAAGCAATTTATTTACAGTGGAAACTGGTGATCTTAATTAACATACACAATTGGAAATCGCGTGTGCATTTCCCTAATCTAAGGTGTTTCTCATTTTTACGTACCATCTCACACTTCAATCCAAATCTTGTTCGCATGGTCTTTAGGTATGTTTTAAGAAGCAGGAAACCAATAAGTGTAATCATCTCCTTAGATGACGTAGACTTTTCAAAGAATAGCAATGCGGCTGATCTGATGTGAGTATAGGTACCGTTCAGCGGGAAATCCAGTAATACTGATAGTGTGACCGAGGTAGGCGATATTGTCCCTTGTTGGTCCTAATTATCAGAAGCAGCAGAGCAGTTGAGGTCTGGGGCAGGAGGGGGATTAAACTCAACAAATGCTGATTCCCATCTGGCATTTCTGGGTTCCTGTTCAGTGAAGCGTTGAGATGAGTCGGCCCCAGCTGATAGCCCTTTCTAATCCCAAGCAGAGATGATTTGCGATTTTGCGGTCTTCGCGACTCACCATCCTGACACCGGCCACCGAGCCTGGCCAGAGTCCAGCTAACTGTGGCCGGAGCTCAGGAGATCCTGCACACAATAGGTCTCTGGAACTTGGCAGCCAGGATTCTAAAATCAGCAGAGACACCGACGGCACTTTCCTTACAAGAGGCTGAAAAACATTGTCGTAACTCCGTCGGTAGCAAACACGACAAAACAACACGCATACAGCCAAATAAAATTTTAACAGACATACCAGGACCACCGTTGCTGAGCTGCATCTGCAGAGAGGTCTGTCAGTTCTCAAGTTCTTAGTAGTTTCTTCCTCATTTTCAGCTGATCTCTCTATCTGGAGTTCTGCTCTTAGCTTTTGACTGACACTCTCTAAAGTTCTGTGGAATTCTGTAAGTGTCTAATAAACCAGGATGAAAAATTGTGTGCCTGTAATGTCATTTGCACAAAGGGTTGTAAAGGATATTATATTGTCAAGTGGGAATTATAAAAGAGTTATGATGAATTGTTTTAGCCTCATTCAGATAAAGCTGTACCAATATATACCACATGCATATGGAATTGTTTAAAAGGCCAACATTAAAAAGAAAGAAGGTTATCCTTGTCATTTTCAATATTAAGAGGACACAAAGTTATAGTATTGTAGATTGCCCTAATTTTCCTTAAATTGATCTGACATTCATGCATATATCTACTGTATTCAGCATATCATATACAGTACAGTATATGCAAATCAGAATATTGAGGTTAAAATACACTATTGTACAGTTCTTTCTAAGGTAAATTTGTGATAATTGATTTTCTGCCGGTTATACATCTAATTATGTGTTTTCATTATTTTTAACAGCCAGGTCACTTAACATTTTACAGATTTTGAAATAATGCAGAAGAGTTTTGTCATATCCATGTGCTCCACCAGTAATTGATTCCAAAAATGTCATGTTAATGTTTTATGCATAGCGTTCAGAATGCAAAACTATCACCCTTATAGAATTCCACAGAAGTTTAGGGATTTTGTCACATAGGAATCGACAGGATCATTAACATCTCAATGGACAGTATTTTCCCAGGATCAGAAGTGAGTTTGAAACTGTGCCCTGTCTGGGCCTGGTAATAAATTGCCAGAACATCTTTAACCTCACCGGCCTCTTAAATCCCACTGGGTTTCTGCAAACGAACATATCGTTTCAAACATTCTTGCTGTGTACACAGCCAGCCCCATGAACTCGACACATTACCATCCCCTCTGCAGGAGCAGTTTTTTATAGATATCCGAGGCCTCGCTTTAGATCCGGACACAAGCCCTGTCCTTTCCAGCAAATTCTCTCTGTCTTGACTAGTTTCTTTACTTGAACAAAAACAGTGCTAGCTGGGGACGAAACCTTCTCTGCCGAGGAGCCTCAGCTAAGCAGCTGGACGCTACAGCCAGAGGGAAATATGTAAGGAAAGCATTAAAGGAAGGAAGAGCATCCTGAAAAGTGAACTCAAGAGAAGCACAGCCCTTGCAGAGACTCTTTCGAAGTGGCTTGTGGAGTCAGGCCTCGATATCTGGTGATCCCCTCAGATTTTTATCTGAGCAGCTGTGCAGTGGAAATTCTATAGGAGAAAATAGTTGAACTCCAGGAAGGGGGAGAAAATCCGAGCATTTGCCTGCAGAGGAAACACCACTTGTATCCCCCAACTAAGCCTGTTACCTTTTAAATACAACAGAGAGCAGTAGGTGGAGTTCTCAAATTTCCTCAAAAATTGCCAACAAAAAAAAGGCAGAATGTACAGTTTGTTCCCCCTGTTGTAAAAGAAGGGAACAGAAATTCACAACGGGAGTTTTACTGTTTTAAAGTTTGTTCATGACTGGAGGGATTTCTGTGTTGGAATCAGTTCAAGAGTGCAGTATCTTTCCTGGTGCTCTCACTAAGTAAGTCTTCACATTAATATGTTCGTCCCAAAGGATTCCAGAGTGCTTTTGTCATGATGAAAAGGAAACCCAAGGTTAAGCTTATTGTTATAAAGTTAAGGTTTGGTTAAGCTTATTGTCATAAAGTTAAGGGCATCCTGGTTGGTGTTTACAAAAATATGTATTGTGAAAGAATCGTGTGTGTCCTGATCCTTCAAGGCCACTTTCATGGGACTGAATTGGAATATCACACCTCCAGGCCCGGGATCTTGGATTTGACTTGGGCCTTGGCATCTGTCTGTATGGAGTCTGCATGTTCTCATTTCCGGCTTGTGCCCTACAACCCTGCTATGAGTCTCCTCTGGTTAAGTGGCTTTCTGATAATGAATGCGTGGATCAGTAATAATTTGGGGGTGTCTTTAGAAAGTGGCTGTATGAAAACCCTTCACAAATAACAGTTTAAGGTTCTGAACAAAGCATGTAGGTGAACCCAGGCTGCCCCATGCCCCATGTAATGCTTTTTGTTCGTGCTCTCAATTCTCCTTTAGGACTAATTCTGGTTATTTTTTAAAGATGGTGCAGCCTGAGACTGCAGTTTAATCCTGTAGAGTTGTTTTTTTTTTTTCTAGAGAACCTTTGAAGGTCGTACTTTTGGTGAGCTGGCCACACTCCAAAAAAACAAAACATAACAGCATATGCGTGCTGTCGGTTTTTAGAAGACACAAAGACCCCCCCCCCCCCAGTGCCAGAAAGCTAGAATACCCCCAGAACAGAGTTATCCAAAATTAGAAGGACTGTGAACAGTTTCCTATGCATCCACCTCTCTAGTAAATGGGATCTGTCTGATATAAAGGGAAAGTAAACTAGTCTTCTACTTCTGAAGATGTGTATACAATGAATCAGTGCTGTTTATTTGTTCAGTCCGTTGAGGTATAGTGCTTATGTTACTCAAGCAGGGGGAGGAGAAGGGTAGGGCAGGGTTGGGGGTTAAGAAATACGAGTGTTTTGGCCTCCCGATCCCCAAGAGACAGTTCGTTTTGCAGACTTCACAAACTCTTTCCCTTTCCTCATCCATCTGTTGATTTTTCTTTTTTCATTTTTATGCATTCATTTGTCTCATAATTCACAAGCGGACGTACACATTTGGGAACCTGCAAAATTTAATTAACATGCATTCCCATAATTCGTAGCAACTGCATGTTCTTTAAAGACACCTTAACACTGAAAGGTGTTCTTCATAAAAGGAAATATGCTTAGTGTTGTTTCAGTTTTAGTTAGTTTAGCTTATCTAAAACTTCTAAATGAATGTTTGCAAATGCAGTCCCCCCACTACCTATTTATTGATCCATTAATTTACAGTATGTGTCACATACTATTGTTGTGATTTCATGTGATTTTACGGGACTCTTCTGTTTTGCTTGTGTATTTTGGACGTCTGTGGGAGAAGCCAAAGACAAATTTCCACAGCAGTGGACAATGAAGTATCTACCTATCTTGTTTTTGTTTCCTTGTGAGCCCGTGTTGCTTCTTTTTACTGTACAAATTGGCCACAGGTCTTTGAAAGATACGGTTTCTATTTTTTCCTGCTGAAAATTGTGAAATGATGCAACTCGCTTTCCTGGGTTTGAGTTCACAAAAGGCAACTTGATGCAGAGGGGCTCGAAAGGGGTGGGTTTCTGAAGCCCCCCCCCCACCACCACCACCACCCCCACTCCCCTTCCTTTG